CACAGAATTGTTACTCAGGGACACAGAATTGTTACTCAGGGACACAGAATTGTTACTCAGGGACACAGAATTGTTACTCAGGGACACAGAATTGTTACTCAGGGACACAGAACTGTTACTCAGGGACACAGAACTGTTACTCAGGGACACAGAACTGTTACTGAGGGACACAGAATTGTTACTCAGGGACACAGAATTGTTACTGAGGGACACAGAATTGTTACTGAGGGACACAGAAATTGTTACTGAGGGACACAGAATTGTTACTGAGGGACACAGAATTGTTACTCAGGGACAGACACAGAATTTGTTACTGAGGGACACAGAACTGTTACTCAGGGACACAGAACTGTTACTCAGGGACACAGAACTGTTACTCAGGGACAGACACAGAATTGTTACTCAGGGACACAGAACTGTTACTCAGGGACAGACACAGAATTGTTACTCAGGGACAGACACAGAATTGTTACTGAGGACACAGAATTGTTACTGAGGGACACAGAATTGTTACTGAGGGACACAGAAATTGTTACTGAGGGACACAGAATTGTTACTGAGGGACACAGAATTGTTACTCAGGGACACAGAACTGTTACTCAGGGACACAGAGAGTTGTTACTCAGGGACACAGAGTTGTTACTGAGGGACACAGAGTTGTTACTCAGACACAGAGTTGTTACTCAGGGACACAGAATTGTTACTCAGGGACACAGAACTGTTACTCAGGGAACACAGAACTGTTACTCAGGGACACAGAATTGTTACTCAGGGACACAGAACTGTTACTCAGGGACAGACACAGAACTGTTACTCAGGGACAGACACAGAACTGTTACTCAGGGACAGACACAGAACTGTTACTGAGGGACACACAGAACTGTTACTGAGGACACAGAATTGTTACTCAGGGACACAGAATTGTTACTGAGGGACACAGAATTGTTACTGAGGGACACATGACTGTTACTCAGGGACACAGAACTGTTACTACGGGGACAGACACAGAATTGTTACTCTGGGGACAGACACAGAATTGTTACTCGGGACAGACACAGAATTGTTACTCGGGGACACAATTGTTACTACAGGGACACAGAATTGTTACTCAGGGACACAGAATTGTTACTCAGGGACACAGAATTGTTTACTCAGGGACACAGAATTGTTTACTCAGGGACACAGAATTGTTACTCAGGGACACAGAATTGTTACTCAGGGACACAGAATTGTTACTCAGGGACACAGAATCGTTGAATTAAAGAGTAGGTCAGACAACACACAGAGGAGTGGCAGAGGAGGCAATGTTTCAGGAGCGAGCAGACGTGGCAGCAGAATGAAGGGGTCGAGGCAGCACTAGTCGCAGCCAGAGGCCAGTGCTCCCGGTGTCATCCAGCGGTCGTGTCTCCACCGACAACCCTGCCGTCATCGATTGGTTGGCTCGGTCGTCTTCCTCTTCCCAGGTCACCTCTGACACCTACAGCCAACGGTCGGTGGGGTACGTCAGACACAACCGTTAGTTGGCATGGCCCGGGAGCAAGCCCACTGAAATCACGTGTCCTCTACCTGCCCCTGTCCTTTGGTGTTCCCTCACCAAGCGAAGTATCGCATGCTGTGGGCTCAGCCCCACTGTACAGTGAGGAAGAGCTAACAAGGGCGGTCAGGAACGGGGGGAGACATCCACTTCTGCAGCCAGGCGAAGAAGTACTGGCGAGGAGAGTGGCTCGGTAGCCGGTCTAGAGACAAGTCTGTCTCCTGACCCACACGCAGCCGAGGGGGCTAGTAGTGAGTGGCGGAGACCCTAATTGATGATGAAGAGGCTGATCACACTTGGCAGCCTCGTCGTCATCAGGCTATTGCTTCCTCCGCATCATCAGGAGAAGAGGGGTGGTCCAGCTTGGCAGCGAGCAAAACAGTCGGTGGGGTTGCCCAGAGGCAGCAGGGTCGCAGCAGTGTCAGTGGAGCCAAATGGCCATGGAGTAGAGCACCAGCTCCACTGCAGCCTACCACCCACGGCCAGTAGTGGTGCCGGGTGTGCACGGAGGAAGTAGCAGTCAGCCAGTGAGGAGTAGCGGGGGCAAAGTTTCCTACTCGGCGGTGTGTGGCAATTTTTCGTCAAGCCGCCCGAGGAAGTAAACGTAGCCGTATGTCGACTATGTGGCCAGAGAAAGTCAAGCGTGGCCAGGGGGCCCATGTTGGGACTACAGCATTGCGTCAGCATATGCAGCGTCGCCATTCGGTGGCCTGGGGAAAACCGTGATAAAGATACGGCAGTTCTGCCTGCCCCAGCCCCCGCTCCATCACCCGCTCCGTTACTTGCTCCGTCACCCGACGTCAATCGCCCTCTATCAGCCAGTCAAGGCTCCAACACCTCTGCTGAGGGGAGTTGTCGCTCGTTGGCATCTTCCGCTCGTTCAGATGCTCCTTCTCCTGCTACTCCTCTTCACGGATTCCGTCAGCAGTCTTTCTTGGAATCCGTTTCCAAGAGACAACAGTTTGCGAGCACGCACCCGACGGTGCAAAAGCGGAACGTCCTCCTGTCCAAGTTGCTGGTGCTGCAGTCCCTCCCCTTTCCAAGTGGTGGACTCAGCACCTTTCCGAGAAATGATGCTTGTGCCGCGCCGTGGTGGAGAGTGCCAAGCCGGCATTTCTTCGCCAAAAAGGCAGTGCCAGCCCTGCATTCACATGTAGAAGAGATGGTGGGCCAGTCTTTGAGCATGTCGGTCTCTGCCAAAGTGCACGGCAGTGCCGACGTGTGGAGCTGTAACTACGGTCAGTGGGACAGTACATGTCATTTACGGCCCACTGGGTGAACGTGGTGCCGGCACAGCCACACCAGCAACTTGGACAGGTCACGCCGCTTTGCCTCCACGTTTGCACGTCCTTGTCCAGCAAAGATGTCCGCCTCTACCACCTCTTCTTCTTCGCCGTGTCCTCGGCCGCCACCTCCCGTGCCAAGTCCCATTTACCCGACCGCATATCACATGTGCAGGGTGCAACGGTGTCACGCTGTGCTGCACCTGGTATGCCTTAGCGAACGTAGTCACACAGGGGAGGAACTTCTGAGTGTAATGAACAGAGAAATCGACAGATGGCTGTCTCCGCGCAAACTGAAAATCGAACCATGTTGACCGACACAACGGAAAGAACATGGTGTCTGCTCTGCGTCAAGGAAGGTTGTGCCATGCGCCATGCATGGCTCACAGTGTTAAATCTGGTTGTCAAGCGGTTCCTAAAATCCACCATCCCACTGCAAGACATCCTTAAAATGTCACGTAAACTTTGCATGCATTTCAGCCATTCCTACACCGCAAAGCACACCCTCCTTGAGCTGCAGTGGCAGAACGGAATTCCACAGCATCGCCTGATCTGCGACGTTGCAACAAGGTGGAATTCAACCCTACACATGTTAGACTGCCTTTACGAACAGCGAAAGGCCATCACCGATTTTCCTGATGTTACAAGCGGATAAAAGGTACTCCCCTGTGTAACTTCGATGTCAGCCCATTGGCAGCTCATGCGTGACACCTGCCGCTTGCTCAGGGCCCTTTGAGGAGGACCACGCTATTCGTGAGTCGGCAGGACTATGGGATGAACGACGTCATTCCTCTGTTGCACGTCCTGGAACAAATGCTGTTAACAATGGCTGGTCAGGGTGCGGTAGACGTGGCGCACAGATCTCAACGCCACATGTCCCCTGTGGGGGCAGGACAGGAAGAAGAGGAGGAGGTAGAGGAGGACATTGGTGCTCAGGAATTATTGAGTGAAATGGGTGGTTTTTCCACTCAGCGGACAGGAGTGGAGGAGCAGGAGCATCTGGTAGAGGAGGAGAGGAGGAACAGAGGACCCAGACGCACCGTGGCAGTATGCTGTGGAGATGGAGGCAGGAGAGTCCCTCGCATTCCTTGGCACAAATGGCCCATAGCATGCTCGTTACTTGCGTAGCGACAGCCGAATAATAACCATCAGACAGAGGGATGACTTTTGGCTGTCCACCTTGTTGGACCCTCGCTACCGTTCAAAAAATGGTGGCCTTTTTCACACCTGCTGAGAAGGGAGGCCAAAATAACGTACTATAAAAACCACCTATGTAGTCAGTTGGTCTCTGCCTTTCTGCGCCCAACGTCCATCCTCAGACACTGTGGGCCCTGTGCGCTCTCGCGTTCCGCTGCCATGGCAGCAGGGGGGGGTGGGGTGGTAGGAGCAGTGGCAGCTCCACCAGCAGCACGGCTGCCTCAGTCTGCAGTCGATGATGAGTAGCTTTCTTCACCAGCGCAGTGAGGAAACTACTAACCAGCCGCAGCAGCAGCAGCATCAGTGGACCTGGAGCAGGATCTCAAACAACAGGCTTGGGCCTACTTGGACAGCACCCTGCCAACCGAGGTAGACAATCCCCTTGACTACTGGGCAACGAAACTTGACCTTTGGCCCCAACTAGCTGAATTTGCCCTTGAAAGGCTGTCATGCCCGGCCAGTATAGCGTGGCATCGGAGCGCGTGTTTAGTGCGGCAGGAGGTATTGTAACTCCGCGTTAGGACACGACTGTCCACCCAAAGTGTGGAGAGACTCACGTTTGTGAAAATGAATCAGGCGTGGATTAGTCTGGATTTCAAACCACCAGTTCCTGACACAACTGACTAAATCCGCCATGAAGTCATGCCCCAAACATGTTATTATTTTTAACATAGGCCTCTGTATGGCCTTCAATTTAAGCTGCTTACGCTTCGCCACTCTGCCATGGGCCCCTGTACCGCCTCCTCTAGCTGCTGCCAGGTCCAGAGTGTGTCATGGGTCCCTGTACGGCTCCCATTGCTGCTGTCTCCATCGCCCACACTCTGCCATGTGCCACTTTCAGGTCTCCTCACACTGCTGTGGGTTCCATTTTGTCATAGGGTGCTGGCAGATTACGGGCCTCCCCATTGCTGCTGCCAGGCCCGTAATCTGCCATGGGCCCCCCGTACCGACCTCCTCATGCTGCTGCCAGGCCCGTAATCTGTCATGGGCCCTGTACCGCCTCCTCATGCTGCTGCCAGGTCCAGAGTGTGTCATGGGTCCCTGTACGGCCTCCCATTGCTGCTGTCTCCATCGCCACACTCTGCCATGTGCCACTTTCAGGTCTCCTCACACTGCTGGTGGGTTCCATTTTGTCATAGGGTGCTGGCAGATTACGGGCCTCCCATTGCTGCTGCCAGGCCCGTAATCTGCCATGGGCCCCCTGTACCGCCTCCTCATGCTGCTGCCAGGTCCAGAGTGTCTCATGGGTCCCTGTACGGCCTCCCATTGCTGCTGTCTCCATCGCCCACACTCTGCCATGTGCCACTTTCAGGTCTCCTCACACTGCTGGTGGGGTTCCATTTTGTCATAGGGTGCTGGCAGATTACGGGCCTCCCATTGCTGCTGCCAGGCCCGTAATCTGCCATGGGCCCCCGTACCGACTCCTCATGCTGCTGCCAGGCCCGTAATCTGTCATGGGCCCCTGTACCGCCTCCTCATGCTGCTGCCAGGTCCAGAGTGTGTCTCATGGGTCCCTACGGCCTCCCATTGCTGCTGTCTCCATCGCCACACTCTGCCATGTGCCACTTTCAGGTCTCCTCACACTGCTGGTGGGTTCCATTTTGTCATAGGGTGCTGGCAGATTACGGGCCTCCCATTGCTGCCAGCCTTAGGATCCCGTAATCTGCCATGGGCCCCCGTACCGCCTCCCATGCTGCTGCCAGGCCCCGTAATCTGCCATGGGCCCCTGTACCGCCTCCTCATGCTGCTGCCAGGTCCAGAGTGTGTCATGGGTCCCTGTACGGCCTCCCATTGCTGCTGTCTCCATCGCCACACTCTGCCATGTGCCCACTTTCAGGTCTCCTCACACTGCTGGTGGGTTCCATTTTGTCATAGGGTGCTGGCAGATTACGGGCCTCCCATTGCTGCTGCCAGGCCCGTAATCTGCCATGGGCCCCCTGTACCGCCTCCTCATGCTGCTGCCAGGTCCAGAGTGTGTCATGGGTCCCTGTACGGCCTCCCATTGCTGCTGTCTCCATCGCCACACTCTGCTGCCCTTTCAGGTCTCCTCACACTGCTGGTGGGTTCCATTTTGTCATAGGGTGCTGGCAGATTACGGGCCTCCCATTGCTGCTGCCAGGGCCCGTAATCTGCCATGGGCCCCTGTACCGCCTCCTCATGCTGCTGCCAGGTCCAGATCTGTCATGGGCCCCTGTACCCGCCTCCTCATGCTGCTGCTGCCAGGTCCAGAGTGTCTCATGGGTCCCTGTACGGCCTCCCATTGCTGCTGTCTCCATCGCCACACTCTGCCATGTGCCACTTTCAGGTCTCCTCACACTGCTGGTGGGTTCCATTTTGTCATAGGGTGCTGGCAGATTACGGGCCTCCCATTGCTGCTGCTGCAGGCCCGTAATCTGCCATGGGCCCCCTGTACCGCCTCCTCATGCTGCTGCCAGGTCCAGAGTGTCTCATGGGTCCCTGTACGGCCTCCCATTGCTGCTGTCTCCATCGCCACACTCTGCCATGTGCCACTTTCAGGTCTCCTCACACTGCTGGTGGGTTCCATTTTTTGTCATAGGGTGCTGGCAGATTACGGGCCTCCCATTGCTGCTGCCAGGCCCGTAATCTGCCATGGGCCCCCGTACCGCCTCCTCATGCTGCTGCCAGGTCCAAGTGTCTCATGGGTCCCTGTACGGCCTCCCATTGCTGCTGTCTCCATCGCCACACTCTGCCATGTGCCACTTTCAGGTCTCCTCACACTGCTGGTGGGTTCCATTTTGTCATAGGGTGCTGGCAGATTACGGGCCTCCCATTGCTGCTGCCAGGCCCGTAATCTGCCATGGGCCCCTGTGCCAGGCCCGTACCTGTCATGGGCCCCGTACCGCCCTCCTCATGCTGCTGCCAGGTCCAGAGTGTGTCATGGGTCCCTGTACGGCCTCCCATTGCTGCTGTCTCCATCGCCACACTCTGCCATGTGCCACTTTCAGGTCTCCTCACACTGCTGTGTGGGTTCCATTTTGTCATAGGGTGCTGGCAGATTACGGGCCTCCCATTGCTGCTGCCAGGCCCGTAATCTGCCATGGGCCCCCCGTACCCGCCTCCTCATGCATGCTGCTGCCAGGTCCAGAGTGTCTCATGGGTCCCTGTACGGCCTCCCATTGCTGCTGTCTCCATCGCCACACTCTCTGCCATGTGCCACTTTCAGGTCTCCTCACACTGCTGGTGGGTTCCATTTTTTGTCATAGGGTGCTGGCAGATTACGGGCCTCCCATTGCTGCTGCCAGGCCCGTAATCTGCCATGGGCCCCCGTACCGTACCATGCTGCCTCATGTAATCTGTCATGCCCCTGTACCGCCTCCTCATGCTGCTGCCAGGTCCAGAGTGTGTCATGGGTCCCTGTACGGCCTCCCATTGCTGCTGTCTCCATCGCCACACTCTGCCATGTGCCACTTTCAGGTCTCTCCTCACACTGCTGGTGGGTTCCATTTTGTCATAGGGTGCTGGCAGATTACGGGCCTCCCATTGCTGCTGCAGGCCCGTAATCTGCCATGGGCCCCCGTACCGACTCCTCATGCTGCTGCCAGGCCCGTAATCTGTCATGGGCCCCTGTACCGCCTCCTCTGCTGCTGCCAGGTCCAGAGTGTTCCTCATGGGTCCCTGTACGGCCTCCCATTGCTGCTGTCTCCATCGCCACACTCTGCCATGTGCCACTTTCAGGTCTCCTCACACTGCTGGTGGGTTCCATTTTGTCATAGGGTGCTGGCAGATTACGGGCCTCCCATTGCTGCTGCCAGGCCCGTAATCTGCCATGGGCCCCCGTACCCGACTCCCCATGCTGCTGCCAGGCCCGTAATCTGTCATGGGCCCCTGTACCGCCTCCTCATGCTGCTGCCAGGTCCAGAGTGTCTCATGGGTCCCTGTACGGCCTCCCATTGCTGCTGTCTCCATCGCCACACTCTGCCATGTGCCACTTTCAGGTCTCCTCACACTGCTGGTGGGTTCCATTTTGTCATAGGGTGCTGGCAGATTACGGGCCCTCCCATTGCTGCTGCTGCTGCCAGGCCCGTAATCTGCCATGGGCCCCCCGTACCTACCCTCTCATGCTGCTGCCAGGTCCAGAATCTGTCATGGGTCATGGGTCCCTGTACGGCCTCCCATTGCTGCTGTCTCCATCGCCACACTCTGCCATGTGCCACTTTCAGGTCTCCTCACACTGCTGGTGGGTTCCATTTTGTCATAGGGTGCTGGCAGATTACGGGCCTCCCATTGCTGCTGCCAGGCCCGTAATCTGCCATGGGCCCCCGTACCGCCTCCTCATGCTGCTGCCAGGCCCGTAATCTGTCATGGGCCCCCTGTACCGCCTCCTCATGCTGCTGCCAGGTCCAGAGTGTGTCATGGGTCCCTGTACGGCCTCCCATTGCTGCTGTCTCCATCGCCACACTCTGCCATGTGCCACTTTCAGGTCTCCTCACACTGCTGGTGGGTTCCATTTTGTCATAGGGTGCTGGCAGATTACGGGCCTCCTCCATTGCTGCTGCCAGGCCCGTAATCTGCCATGGGCCCCCTGTACCGCCCTCCTCATGCTGCTGCCAGGTCCAGAGTCTCATGGGTCCCTGTACGGCCTCCCATTGCTGCTGTCTCCATCGCCACACTCTGCCATGTGCCACTTTCAGGTCTCCTCACACTGCTGGTGGGTTCCATTTTTTTGTCATAGGGTGCTGGCAGATTACGGGCCTCCCATTGCTGCTGCCAGGCCCGTAATCTGCCATGGGCCCCCGTACCGACTCCTCATGCTGCTGCCAGGCCCCTCTGTCATGGGCCCCCTGCTCATGCTGCTGCCAGGTCCAGAGTGTCTCATGGGTCCCTGTACGGCCTCCCATTGCTGCTGTCTCCATCGCCACACTCTGCCATGTGCCACTTTCAGGTCTCCTCACACTGCTGGTGGGTTCCATTTTGTCATAGGGTGCTGGCAGATTACGGGCCTCCCATTGCTGCTGCCAGCCCGTAATCTGCCATGGGGTACCGACTCCCATGCTGCTGCCAGGCCCGTAATCTGTCATGGGCCCCTCCCGCCTCCTCTGCTGCTGCAGGTCCAGAGTGTCTCATGGGTCCCTGTACGGCCTCCCATTGCTGCTGTCTCCATCGCCACACTCTGCCATGTGCCACTTTCAGGTCTCCTCACACTGCTGGTGGGTTCCATTTTGTCATAGGGTGCTGGCAGATTACGGGCCTCCCATTGCTGCTGCCAGGCCCGTAATCTGCCATGGGCCCCCGTACCGCCTCCTCATGCTGCTGCCAGGCCAGGTGGGCCCCAGAGTGTCTCATCCAGAGGGTCCCTGTACGGCCTCCCATTGCTGCTGTCTCCATCGCCACACTCTGCCATGTGCCACTTTCAGGTCTCCTCACACTGCTGGTGGGTTCCATTTTGTCATAGGGTGCTGGCAGATTACGGGCCTCCCATTGCTGCTGCCAGGCCCGTAATCTGCCATGGGCCCCCGTACCGCCTCATCATGCTGCTGCCAGGTCCAGAGTGTCTCATGGGTCCCTGTACGGCCTCCCATTGCTGCTGTCTCCATCGCCACACTCTGCCATGTGCCACTTTCAGGTCTCCTCACACTGCTGGTGGGGTTCCATTTTGTCATAGGGTGCTGGCAGATTACGGGCCTCCCATTGCTGCTGCCAGGCCCGTAATCTGCCATGGGCCCCCGTAACTCCTCATGCTGCTGCCCCCGTAATCTGTCATGGGCCCCTGTACCGCCTCCTCATGCTGCTGCCAGGTCCAGAGTGTCTCATGGGTCCCTGTACGGCCTCCCATTGCTGCTGCTGTCTCCATCGCCACACTCTGCCATGTGCCACTTTCAGGTCTCCTCACACTGCTGGTGGGTCCCATTTTGTCATAGGGTGCTGGCAGATTACGGGCCTCCCATTGCTGCTGCCAGGCCCGTAATCTGCCATGGGCCCCCGTACCGACTCCTCATGCTGCTGCCAGGCCCATGATGCTGCTGTAACCCATTCAGTCCCTCACTCTGCTGCTGCCACTGCTGTGTCCCCCCCGCCCCTCATGCTGCTGCCTGTCCCAGAGTGTCTCATGGGTCCCCTGTACGGCCTCATCCCATTGCTGCTGTCTCCATCGCCACACTCTGCCATGTGCCCACTTTCACACTCCTGCCATGTCACACTGCTGGTGCTGGTGGTTCCATTTTTTGTCATAGGGTGCTGGCAGATTACGGGCCTCCCATTGCTGCTGCCAGGCCCGTAATCTGCCATGGGCCCCTGTACCGCCTCCTCATGCTGCTGCTGCCAGGTCCAGAGTGTCTCATGGGTCCCTGTACGGCCTCCCATTGCTGCTGTCTCCATCTGTCTCCATCGCCACACTCTGCCATGTGCCACTTTCAGGTCTCCTCACACACTGCTGGTGTTCCATTTTGTCATAGGGTGCTGGCAGATTACGGGCCTCCCATTGCTGCTGCCAGGCCCGTAATCTGCCATGGGCCCCCGTACCGACTCCTCATGCTGCTGCCGGCCCGTAATCTGTCATGGGCCCCCCTCCCATGCCCTGTCCTTACCGCCTCCTCATAGGGTGCTGGCAGATTACGGGCCTCCCATTGTCCTGTGTAATCATGGGTCCCCCTGTACGGCCTCCCATGCTGCCCATCTGCTGTCCCTGTCTCCATTGCTCTGCCCACTCTGCCATGTGCCACTTTCAGGTCTCCTCACACTGCTGGTGGGTTCCATTTTGTCATAGGGTGCTGGCAGATTACGGGCCTCCCATTGCTGCTGCCAGGCCCGTAATCTGCCATGGGCCCCCCCGACTCCTACCCTGCCAGGCCCGTAATCCTCATGGGCTGCTGCTGCTGCCAGGTCCAGAGTGTCTCATGGGTCCCTGTACGGCCTCCCATTGCTGCTGTCTCCATCGCCACACTCTGCCATGTGCCACTTTCAGGTCTCCTCACACTGCTGTGGGTTCCATTTTGTCATAGGGTGCTGGCAGATTACGGGCCTCCCATTGCTGCTGCTGCCAGGCCCGTAATCTGCCATGGGCCCCTGTACCGCCCTCCTCATGCTGCTGCCAGGTCCAGAGTGTCTCATGGTCCCTGTACGGCCGGCCTCCCATTGCTGCTGTCTCCATCGCCACACTCTGCCATGTGCCACTTTCAGGTCTCCTCACACTGCTGGTGGTTCCATTTTTTTGTCATAGGGTGCTGGCAGATTACGGGCCTCCCATTGCTGCTGCCAGGCCCGTAATCTGCCATGGGCCCCTGTACCGCCTCCTCCCTCCTGCTGCTGCTGCTGCCAGGTCCAGAGTGTCTCATGGGTCCCTGTACGGCCTCCCATTGCTGCTGTCTCCATCGCCACACTCTGCCATGTGCCACTTTCAGGTCTCCTCACACTGCTGGTGGGTTCCATTTTTTTGTCATAGGGTGCTGGCAGATTACGGGCCTCCCATTGCCTGCATTGCTGCTGCCAGGCCCGTAATCTGCCATGGGCCCCCCGTACCGCCTCCTCATGCTGCTGCCAGGTCCAGAGTGTCTCATGGGTCCCTGTACGGCCTCCCATTGCTGCTGTCTCCATCGCCCACACTCTGCCATGTGCCACTTTCAGGTCTCCTCACACTGCTGGTGGGTTCCTGCTGTGTGTTCCATTTTGTCATAGGGTGCTGGCAGATTACGGGCCTCCCATTGCTGCTTGCTGCCAGGCCCGTAATCTGCCATGGGCCCCTGTACCCCCCGCCTCCTCATGCTGCTGCCAGGTCCAGAGTGTCTCATGGGTCCCTGTACGGCCTCCCATTGCTGCTGCTCCTCCATCGCCACACTCTGCCATGTGCCACTTTCAGGTCTCCTCACACTGCTGGTGGTTCCATTTTGTCATAGGGTGCTGGCAGATTACGGGCCTCCCATGCTGCTGCTGCCAGGCCGTGGGCCCCCGTAATCTGCCATGGGCCCCCGTACCGCCTCCTCATGCTGCTGCTGCCAGGTCCAGAGTGTCTCATGGGTCATGGGTCCCTGTACGGCCTCCTCCCATTGCTGCTGTCCTCCATCGCCACACTCTGCCATGTGCCACTTTCAGGTCTCCTCACACTGCTGGTGGTTCCATTTTTTGTCATAGGGTGCTGGCAGATTACGGGCCTCCCATTGCTGCTGCCAGGCCCGTAATCTGCCATGCCTCCTCATGCTGGCCCCCGTACTGTCATGGGCCCCTCATGCTCATGCTGCTGCCAGGTCCAGAGTGTCTCATGGGTCCCTGTACGGCCTCCCATTGCTGCTGTCTCCATCGCCACACTCTGCCATGTGCCACTTTCAGGTCTCCTCACACTGCTGGTGGTGGGTTCCATTTTGTCATAGGGTGCTGGCAGATTACGGGCCTCCCATTGCTGCTGCCAGGCCCGTAATCTGCCATGGGCCCCCGTACCGACCTCATGCTGCTGGGCCCCCGTAATCTGTCATGGGCCCCTGTACCCCCGCCTCCTCATGCTGCTGCCAGGTCCAGAGTGTCTCATGGGTCCCTGTACGGCCTCCCATTGCTGCTGTCTCCATCGCCACACACTCTGCCATCCACCACTTTCAGGTCTCCTCACACTGCTGGTGGGTTCCATTTTTTTGTCATAGGGTGCTGTGCTGGCCTCCCAGATTACGGGCCCGTAATCTGCCATGGGCTGCTGCCAGGCCCGTAATCTGCCATGGGCCCCCTGTACCGCCTCCTCATGCTGCGCTGCTGCCAGGTCCAGAGTGTCTCATGGGTCCCTGTACGGCCTCCCATTGCTGCTGTCTCCATCGCCACACTCTGCCATGTGCCACTTTCAGGTCTCCTCACACTGCTGGTGGGTTCCATTTTGTCATAGGGTGCTGGCAGATTACGGGCCTCCCCTCCCATTTGCTGCTGCCAGGCCCGTAATCTGCCATGGGCCCCCGTACCGCCTCCTCATGCTGCTGCCAGGTCCAGGCCCGTAATCTGTCATGGGTCCCTGTACCCACCCCCTCCTCATGCTGCTGCTGCCAGGTCCAGAGTGTCTCATGGGTCCCTGTACGGCCTCCCATTGCTGCTGTCTCCATCGCCACACACTGCCATGTGCCACTTTCAGGTCTCCTCACACTGCTGGTGGGTTCCATTTTGTCATAGGGTGCTGGCAGATTACGGGCCTCCCATTGCTGCTGCCAGGCCCGTAATCTGCCATGGGCCCCGTACCGTACCGCCTCCTCTGTCATGCTGCTGCCAGTCCTCCAGAGTCCAGAGTGTCTCATGGGTCCCTGTACGGCCTCCCATTGCTGCTGTCTCCATCGCCACACTCTGCCATGTGCCACTTTCAGGTCTCCTCACACTGCTGTGGGTTCCATTTTGTCATAGGGTGCTGGCAGATTACGGGCCTCCCATTGCTGCTGCCAGGCCCGTAATCTGCCATGGGCCCCCGTACCGACTCCTCATGCTGCTGCCCCCGTAATCTGTCATGGGCCCCTGTACCGCCTCCTCATGCTGCTGCTGCCAGGTCCAGAGTGTCTCATGGGTCCCTGTACGGCCTCCCATTGCTGCTGTCTCCATCGCCACACTCTGCCATGTGCCACTTTCAGGTCTCCTCACACTGCTGGTGGGTTCCATTTAGGGTGTCATAGGGTGCTGGCAGATTACGGGCCTCCCATTGCTGCTGCCAGGCCCGTAATCTGCCATGGGCCCCCGTACCGCCTCCCATGCTGCTGCCAGGCCCGTAATCTGTCCATGGGCCCCCTGTACCGCCTCCTCATGCTGCTGCCTGCCAGGTCCAGAGTGTGTCATGGGTCCCTGTACGGCCTCCCATTGCTGCTGTCTCCATCGCCACACTCTGCCATGTGCCACTTTCAGGTCCTCCTCACACTGCTGGTGGGTTCCATTTTGTCATAGGGTGCTGGCAGATTACGGGCCTCCCATTGCTGCTGCCAGGCCCGTAATCTGCCATGGGCCCCCGTATCCCTCATGCCGCCTCCTCATGCTGCTGCCAGGTCCAGTCCAGAGTGTCTCATGGGTCCCTGTACGGCCTCCCATTGCTGCTGCTGTCTCCATCGCCACACTCTGCCATGTGCCACTTTCAGGTCTCCTCACACTGCTGGTGGGTTCCATTTTGTCATAGGGTGCTGCTGGCAGATTACGGGCCTCCCATTGCTGCTGCCAGGCCCGTAATCTGCCATGGGCCCCCCCTACCATGCCTCCTGCCAGGTCCATGCTGCTGCCAGGCCCGTAATCTGCCCCATGGGCCCCTGTACTCCCTCCCATTGCTGCTGCCAGGTCCAGAGTGCTCTCATGGGTCCCTGTACGGCCTCCCATTGCTGCTGTCTCCATCGCCACACTCTGCCATGTGCCACTTTCAGGTCTCCTCACACTGCTGGTGGGTTCCATTTTTTGTCCATCCCAGGGTGCTGGCAGATTACGGGCCTCCCATTGCTGCTGCCAGGCCCGTAATCTGCCATGGGCCCCCGTAGATTACGGGCCTCCTCTGCTGCCTGCCAGGCCCGTAATCTGTCATGGGCCCCTGTACCGCCTCCTCATGCTGCTGCCAGGTCCAGAGTGTGTCTCATGGGTCCCTGTACGGCCTCCCATGCTGCTGCTGTCCATCGCCCACACTCTGCCATGTGCCACTTTCAGGTCTCCTCACACTGCTGGTGGGTTCCATTTTGTCATAGGGTGCTGGCAGATTACGGGCCTCCCATTGCTGCTGCCAGGCCCGTAATCTGCCATGGGCCCCCTGTACCGCCTCCTCATGCTGCTGCCAGGTCCAGAGTGTCTCATGGGTCCCTGTACGGCCTCCCATTGCTGCTGTCTCCATCGCCACACTCTCTGCCATGTGCCACTTTCAGGTCTCCTCACACTGCTGGTGGGTTCCATTTTGTCATAGGGTGCTGGCAGATTACGGGCCTCCCATTGCTGCTGCTGCTGCCAGGCCCGTAATCTGCCATGGGCCCCCTGTACCGCCTCCTCATGCTGCTGCCAGGTCCAGAGTGTCTCATGGGTCCCTGTACGGCCTCCCATTGCTGCTGTCTCCATCGCCACACTCTCTGCCATGTGCCACTTTCAGGTCTCCTCACACTGCTGGTGGGTTCCATTTTGTCATAGGGTGCTGGCAGATTACGCCTCCCATTGCTGCTGCCAGGCCCGTAATCTGCCATGGGCCCCCTGTACCCCTCCTCATGCTGCTGCCAGGTCCAGAGTGTCTCATGGGTCCCTGTACGGCCTCCCATTGCTGCTGTCTCCATCGCCACACTCTGCCATGTGCCACTTTCAGGTCTCCTCACACTGCTGGTGGGTTCCATTTTTTGTCATAGGGTGCTGGCAGATTACGGGCCATGGGCCCCCATTGCTGCTGCCAGGCCCGTAATCTGCCATGGGCCCCGTACCGACTCCGCCTCTGCTGCTGCCAGGCCCGTAATCTGCCATGGGCCCCTGTACCGCCTCCTCATGCTGCTGCCAGGTCCAGAGTGTCTCATGGGTCCCTGTACGGCCTCCCATTGCTGCTGTCTCCATCGCCACACTCTGCCATGTGCCACTTTCAGGTCTCCTCACACTGCTGGTGGGTTCCATTTTGTCATAGGGTGCTGGCAGATTACGGGCCTCCCATTGCTGCTGCCAGGCCCGTAATCTGCCATGGGCCCCCGTACCGACTCCTCATGCTGCTGCCAGGCCCCGTAATCTGTCATGGGCCCCTGTACCGCCTCCTCATGCTGCTGCTGCCAGGTCCAGAGTGTGTCAGAGTGTGTCATGGGTCCCTGTACGGCCTCCCATTGCTGCTGCTGTCCTCCATCGCCACACTCTGCCATGTGCCACTTTCAGGTCTCCTCACACTGCTGGTGGGTTCCATTTTGTCATAGGGTGCTGGCAGATTACGGGCCTCCCATTGCTGCTGCCAGGCCCGTAATCTGCCATGGGCCCCTGTACCGCCTCCTCATGCTGCTGCCAGGTCCAGAGTGTCTCATGGGTCCCTGTACGGCCTCCCATTGCTGCTGTCTCCATCGCCACACTCTGCCATGTGCCACTTTCAGGTCTCCTCACACTGCTGGTGGGTTCCATTTTGTCATAGGGTGCTGGCAGATTACGGGCCTCCCATTGCTGCTGCCAGGCCCGTAATCTGCCATGGGCCCCCGTACCGCCTCCTCATGCTGCTGCCAGGTCCCCCTGTACCGCCTCCCATGCTGCTGCCAGGCCCGTAATCTGCCATGGGCCCCTGTCAGGTACCGCCTCCTCATGCTGCTGCCAGGTCCAGAGTGTCTCATGGGTCCCTGTACGGCCTCCCATTGCTGCTGTCTCCATCGCCACACTCTGCCATGTGCCACTTTCAGGTCTCCTCACACTGCTGGTGGGTTCCATTTTGTCATAGGGTGCTGGCAGATTACGGGCCTCCCATTGCTGCTGCCAGGCCCGTAATCTGCCATGGGCCCCCGTACCGGCCTCCTCATGCTGCTGCCCAGGCCCGTAATCTGTCATGGGCCCCTGTACCGCCTCCTCATGCTGCTGCCAGGTCCAGAGTGTGTCATGGGTCCCTGTACGGCCTCCCATTGCTGCTGTCTCCATCGCCACACTCTGCCATGTGCCACTTTCAGGTCTCTCCTCACACTGCTGGTGGGTTCCATTTTGTCATAGGGTGCTGGCAGATTACGGGCCTCCCATTGCTGCTGCCAGGGCCCGTAATCTGCCAGGCCCGTAATCTGCCATGGGCCCCCTGTACCACCGCCTCCTCATGCTGCTGCCAGGTCCAGAGTGTCTCATGGGTCCCTGTACGGCCTCCCATTGCTGCTGTCTCCATCGCCACACTCTGCCATGTGCCACTTTCAGGTCTCCTCACACTGCTGGTGGGTTCCATTTTGTCATAGGGTGCTGGCAGATTACGGGCCTCCCATTGCTGCTGCCAGGCCCGTAATCTGCCATGGGCCCCCGTACCGACTCCTCATGCTGCTGCCAGGGCCCGTAATCTGTCATGGGCCCCTGTACCGCCTCCTCATGCTGCTGCCAGGTCCAGAGTGTCTCATGGGTCCCTGTACGGCCTCCCATTGCTGCTGTCTCCATCGCCCACACTCTGCCATGTGCCACTTTCAGGTCTCCCTCACACTGCTGGTGGGTTCCATTTTGTCATAGGGTGCTGGCAGATTACGGGCCTCCCTGCTGCTGCTGCCAGGCCCGTAATCTGCCATGGGCCCCCGTACCGACTCCTCATGCTGCTGCCAGGCCCGTAATCTGTCATGGGCCCCCTGTACCGCCTCCTCATGCTGCTGCCAGGTCCAGAGTGTCTCATGGGTCCCTGTACGGCCTCCCATTGCTGCTGTCTCCATCGCCACACTCTGCCATGTGCCACTTTCAGGTCTCCTCACACTGCTGGTGGGTTCCATTTTGTCATAGGGTGCTGGCAGATTACGGGCCTCCCATTGCCATTGCCAGGCCCTGCTGCCAGGCCCGTAATCTGCCATGGGCCCCCGTACCCCGTACCGCCTCCTCATGCTGCTGCCAGGTCCAGAGTGTCTCATGGGTCCCTGTACGGCCTCCCATTGCTGCTGTCTCCATCGCCACACTCTGCCATGTGCCACTTTCAGGTCTCCTCACACTGCTGGTGGGTTCCATTTTGTCATAGGGTGCTGGCAGATTACGGGCCTCCCATTGCTGCTGCCAGGCCCGTAATCTGCCATGGGCCCCCGTACCGCCTCCTCATGCTGCTGCCAGGTCCAGAGTGTCTCATGGGTCCCTGTACGGCCTCCCATTGCTGCTGTCTCCATCGCCACACTCTGCCATGTGCCACTTTCAGGTCTCCTCACACTGCTGGTGGGTTCCATTTTGTCATAGGGTGCTGGCAGATTACGGGCCTCCCATTGCTGCTGCCAGGCCCGTAATCTGCCATGGGCCCCCGTACCGCCTCCTCATGCTGCTGCCAGGTCCAGAGTGTCTCATGGGTCCCTGTACGGCCTCCCATTGCTGCTGTCTCCATCGCCACACTCTGCCATGTGCCACTTTCAGGTCTCCTCACACTGCTGGTGGGTTCCATTTTGTCATAGGGTGCTGGCAGATTACGGGGCCTCCCATTGCTGCTGCCAGGCCCGTAATCTGCCATGGGCCCCCCCCCTGTACGGCCTCCCATTGCTGCTGTCTCCATCGCCACACTCTGCCATGTGCCACTTTCAGGTCTCCTCACACTGCTGGTGGGTTCCATTTTGTCATAGGGTGCGCCAGGCAGTAATTACGGGCCGTAAACCGAAAACTCCCATTGCTGCTGCCCAAGGCCCGTAATCTGTCCCAAGGGCCCCAGAGAGTACCAGCCTCCTCATGCTGCTGCCAACAGGTCCAGATACAGTGTCTCATGGTCCCCTGTACTCCCGCCATTGCTGCTGTCCTCCATCGCCACACTCTGCCATGTGCCACTCTTTCAGGTCTCCTCACACTGCCACACTAACAGACTGACAGGCAATGTGCCACTTTCAGGTCTCCTGGGAGAAACACTGCTGGTGGGTTCCATTTATGTCATAGGGTGGTGCTGTAAGGCCTCCCATTGCTGCTTCCCTCCACCGCCACATCTGTGCTCCACACTCTGGTTTGGGGCCCCGTGACTGCCCAAATGAGCTGAAGTGGGTGCGGTGATTCTCTAAGATCGACGGGCACCTCTCTGCATGTCATACTGACTGACAGTATTATTTCTCTTCCCAGCAGACATCCAAGGGCATTTAAATTAAAGGTACAGTGTTCTGCACTAATATAAAGGCTCTCTGAAGCCTAGAAACACGCTTTTTATAAGTTAAATTCGCAGCGAATATATTCGATCTCGAATCGAATGTTATTTCCGCGAATTCGCCGAATCAGCCGAATCGAATTTTTGAATACTTCGCTCATCGCTAATGGGTATCCTATGATGATGTCGTGTCTCCCAGTAATTCTCTTCACAGACTCTGTTTCTCAAAGCATCACGCCTCCGTGACACAATCTGCACTGATCACATGACCGTACCAGAAGCTGAACTGCAAAATAGGTAAGTACACAAATCTTTTTAGATAGGTGTAGGCAGTATAAGTTGAAGAGGGGAGAGCTTTTTTAACAATAGATATAGTTAAGCCTCTGCCACAGGGACTTTCCGCTGAACCCCCATTGAGCACAGCGCGAAGGCAGGTCGCATGTCCACATTCGCTTATGTACAGTCAGATGTAACCTGTCCACTTACATCTTGACCTGTCATCCCCATCCAATCTGGTAAATGGATGGGGGAATGGATCCCCCATCCAGGCTGTTTTTTTAGATGGATCAGATGCATGAACGCTCCACAGAGGGCAATGGATGTCCCTGTTTGGGTTCGACTAAAAAAAAACGGACAGGTGGGACCCAATCGTCCAACATGTGAAAAGGGCCTTAGGCTTTTATTCCACCTTAATACACAGATAATTGACTAAACCCACACATGCCTGTTTTTCGACCACTACATTTTTTCTTTATACTAGCTTTAAAAAAAAAAAAAATAACAATGCAATAAAGAGTTTTAGTATATAACCCACTTTTTGGTATTTTTCAACTCTTTACAAAGTTGATAAAGTGACAGCCCACACACAAATTCAAATCATCTACCTAAGCCATACTAAAGGACACATTTTACAGTCGACTATTTACAATAACATCATGATAACCAGTGAAAAATCAAACAACTATTAAATGTATGCCAAGCTGAGGCTCCCTTGAATCCTGTATGTTTAAGCGTGTTAAATGTGGACAAATCACAAAATATTTTATGGAAGAATCATCTCTCAAAAATTGAAGAAGATGTTTAAACACTTTCACTGCTGAGTCCTGTGCTTCACTTTTGACCCTCAGGTGGGCAAGACCAAATTTTGCAATTTTTACCTTTTTATATGATTTTTCACCTAAAGTTTTCAGAGTTTGCGTAAATAATCCCCCCAAAGTGTACATTTTTCTGAAAGCACAAGAACGGGTAAAGTACAAAGGGACACTGCTACTGCTATTGTTGGTTCCATGTTGATCAAAATTATAATTTTTTGATAACATACAGTCAAATCATATATTAAATGCACACAAACACAACATAGCTTAATCAAAAAAAAAAGTGCTACTACAACACCCCTTACAGACAATGACCCCGCACTCATGGGATTCCCATCACATAAGTTTCTTTTTCATACACCACGGTTGGGTCCTATTTTTGAATTCAGTAATGAGGCAACTCTCTTTATTACGCCTTTTGTACTCCATGTACTATGTTAAATATTACTCTTGTGTTTTCTAGGCTTTGTATCTAGTTATCATATCTGAACAGACATGTGTTGTTTTTGTTACCCCATTTGTTTCCCCCTTCCCGTCACCCCTCCTCCACCTCCCCTCCCCCTTTTATTTGTTGCACCCTACCAAAATCCTCTGTACAGTATTAAAAATCAAAATGTTATTATATTCCCATCTTAACCATCCCGTAGATGTGGTGGCGGCGTCAGTTTTTCATTTGATGGCTTTTTTTCTCTGGTTTTCACAAGGTGATCTGTCTAGTAACACACCTCCAAGTAATTAGTTAGACAACCACTCTGGAGAACTGAGGACAGGACAACAGCAAGACAGCAGCCATTGTTAGTCCTGGGAGAGGGGATGGGAGTGTTAAAATGTATTAACCAGATTTGAGTACAATAACACATTGAATCAAACCATTACAGCTCACATTTTATAATCAGTTAAGGCAAACTGGTTTTTTTTTTCTTTTTGGTTAAAGGTTTTACATGAATAAATACAAGCTGATCATGTTAACCACGCCTGCCAGTGATAAATTGGTTTTGGT